GTCGGGAGCTTGACTCATTCTCTCTGTGAAAGGAGATTTCTTATTAGGGTCATTAATAATAATAACTAATATGATAACTGTTTACCTTCCCGGGTGGAGATGTGAAAGGGAATGCGATAGTGGATCCTGAAAAATGTTTTCAAGTTGGGTTTCCAAAATCGTTTTTAAAACCAAACGTTTTGATACCAAATTGTAACACCCCCCGCCCCGCGAACCCGGTTCGTCGCAGCCCAACGGGACTAAGGGGTTACACAAATGGTATTTAGGACCATCTAAATGAAAACTTCTTGAATTACACATTGTAAAACTTAAAACCTTGATATATTTATTCAAATAAAAATCGTTGGGAAAAATTAATTCCCTTAAATGATCAGAGTGAATGGAATGTTATGTTGCGGAAGCATTAAAAAACCGAACGTTTAGTCCAGACTAAATAAATACGACAAATGTATGGGTTCAAGCCCAAAACTATTTATAATATTAAATAAGAAATAAATAAGGTCCACGCCGTCGCCTGTCCACCCACCCGATCTCCCAATCGTTCGGGTCAGGCTCTAGTATCATCGCGCCTACCTGCTTATAGCAAAAACAAAGTTATACGCTCAACATAAGCTGAGTGGTAATCTAGCAATAGAACACATAGCAGGATTTCATATGGATATAGTCATATTCCTACCTGTACTAACGTACGGAATACTACATATAATTTGTTAATTAAGATCTACATAGATACATACAAATAATGCAATGCCAAATGATTCATGATGCATGAGTTAGACTATGTAGGGACCCCCTACCCTTTGGCGATCATCCCACGATGGTGATGAGCTGAGGAAACCTTATTCTCTTGAGGAGACTAGATAGAAGCGGGTGGTAACTGAAAACCTAGTTACCATGTACGTACACAAGCCCTCTGAATGAAACCCGTTGGGCTGCATTGAATTGGGTTCGCGGGACAGAGGGTGTTACATGTTATGCCTTGGTCGTGGTCCCATTAATAGAGTTATTTAAAAAGGATAGTTTTCACTAGGATACTAATTAAGGTCGGTGAAAGCTTCATGAACTTGAAACACACCATGACAATGGCGCTGGTGTTGTGCCTTCCGGACTTTACTCTGGCCTTTTATTTGGAGCCCAACACTGGAACTAGAGCAATTTTTTTTGCAACAAGGACATCCCTTAGCCTTCTTCAGTAAGAAGTTGAGACCGCGACGATGGGCAGCATCCACGTATCATAGGGAGCTCTATGCAATTGTGGAGGCTACCCAAAAGTGGCGCCAATACCTCTTGGGTCGCGAGTTCATCATTTGCACTGACCAACGCTATTTGAAATAACTCTTACTATAAGTTATGCAAACTCCATACTAACAATTTTACACTCGTAAGCTAATGGAGTTCAAAATCAGAATTGAGTACAAGAGTGGTGCTCCCAAAGGGGCTATCGACACCCTATCCAAGCGTGAGGAAGGCAGTGAGGCGGTGACCTCTTGGCGGCCTACGCCCACCCACTTCCCTTATTGATGCAGGCTTGTCAACGTGAAGCAAGCCCATACTTACATGCCTTTCATGTTTTGGTTCAAGCTAGGACAACACCTTTGCATCTCACCAGGAATAATGGAATACTTTACTATAAACGGTGCATCTATATCATCCCAAACTCACCATTACGAGGCTTGTTTCTTTTTGAGTTCCATATCATACCAATCGCAGGACACCAAGGGGTCAAACGCACATTCTGCAGTCTCGCATCTATTTTTTATTAGCTGGCCATGTGCTGTGATGTCCGATAGTTCATGGACGCGTGCGGGGTGTGCCAAGCTACTAAATATTGAACACCAAAACCAGCGAATCTCCTTCAACACTTACCGATACCCGAGCACATGTGGGAATCCGCTTCTACTAACTTTATTATGGGGTTACCTTTTTCCCAGGGAATGTCCATAATCATGATGGTGGCGGCCCGCTTGACATAGTGGTCAAACATTACAGGTTTTCCAAGGATATTGCGTTCAAAAGAGATGCCATATTTATTATCCCTTTTCTAGAAAGAATTGATGTGATTGAGTGGAACAATCTTGAAGTATAGCACCACGTACCCCCCACAGACTAACGACCAAACTGAGCTGGTCAACCGTAGCCTCGAGTAGTATCTTCGCGCATTCATGTTTGAACGTCCCACCAGGTGGTCAACTTTTCTTCCTTGTTGGATGGAATTGGCCTTGAATTATAGCCATAATCAAAGCATCGAGATAGCCCCATATCAAGCACTATACGGTCATCCTCCTCTAACGGTGATCCCAATGTTAGTTGTCCGTTCCATGGTGGCTGCGATTGAAGAACTATTACAAGAACGAGCTAACATGCTCATGGATCTCAAAGGCCATTGAAACAAAATACAGCAGTGAATGTTAGCCCAAGTCCACCGCCACCGACGCGATGTTTCTTTTCAGGTTGGTGACTTGGTTCTCCTCCGTCCTCACTTGTTCGCCAGCATTCTGTCGCTCGGCAAACGTCGTATAAGCTCGCCCGACATTATTACGGGCATTTTTAGGTGCTGGAACGCATTGGGCATGTCGCATACTGTCTCTAGTTATCGGCGGGATGTCACGTTCACAACATTTTTCATGTACCATTGTTGCACCCATTTCTTCTACCGGGGTCGGTTTCACCTCCAGCTGCCTTATACATAAATTTATACAAGGACTGGCCTTTGTCTCTTCCGATTGCCACCATGCGACATCGTACGATGTTGGTGGAAGGGGAGCCTCAAGAGTAGTGACTCATCGGTCCAATGGCCCCGCTGCACACGACACGTGGGAGACGGTTACAGAGTTGCGATGACATTTTCTAGATATACGACACATGGGAGCCTGCTATGGAGCATGACGAGGACATCCAAGTCCAATCAAAAGTCCCTCCCAGGTCAGTCACATCAGAACAACCCAAGAGGAATGTTGGACTCCCATAGAAATATCAAGTTTATATTTGATATTTTTATTTTATTTGTAACATAGATTTTTGTATATGAGCAAAGTTATAAGCTTCTTCGAGGGTTTTTTTCAATTCGTTACCTCGATGTTTTTATGGAACTAACAAGATAGATAATTAGTTCTAATAGGATTGGGGAACTCTTTTCTACTTAAATAAAGCGTCTCTGTGGTTGGGAGAGTTCATGGCATAATAAACAACCTCTTTTCCCATAATAAATATTTATATATATATTAAGAAATTACCCAAATATGAGTAAAATATAGCATTTAACCTCAAAATAAGAATACCATGTTTTTATTTTTAAAATAAGAATTTACACTGTGATATTATGACAATGAATAATGACAATCCTTTATATCTTTTGGTACTATATAAGGGTATACATTGGTCCAGAACTCGAACTAGAAAAAATGAAAAACTGGAACCCTTTAAAGTATAAGACTAGAAACCGGACCTGTTAGATTCCGGTCTGGAACTGTTTTTTCTAGTCCAATCCGGGTAAAAACCGAAAAACCCAGATTTTTTTTTTCAAAATTTTTAAACTTGTTTTTCAACAATATAGCTTGATTTGTATTGATTTCAACCTCACTCTTAATTATATTCATTGGGCGTGTTTCAAGAAACTATATTAATGTAAATTATTTTGATCAACAATGTGATGAGTTTAAAATAAGTCTTTTGCTTCTGTTATTTTGCGGGATTTCAAAAGTATTATAAATTCATACTATAAATTATTTCATTTTTGCAAGAATAAGTTAAATGTCAAATGATCTGATACTCTAAATTGAAACATTATACTTCAATTGTTTTGAAATTGTTTTAGTTTTTTATAATTATGGGGATTTTTGGATAAAGTTCAATAGTTGTAATGATGAAAAGTAATGAAAATCAATTAAAAATTACATATTACATAAAAAAAGATTACACTCCATAATAAACTAAGAAGAAAAATAAAAATACGTTGTATTTATAATCACATACTCCGTATTATAGGTATTTAAAATAAAAAAAATTACATTCTGGTCTTACCAGTTTTTACCATCCTTAATGTTTAGAACGTAGACTAGTCCAGAATTTTATGGGTCTAGTCCGGAACCGGTTTTTCTGGCCTTGTTTTCTTATCCAACCCGGATTTTGTACACCCCTAACATTATGTATTCGCATCATATCGTACTTCTATTTTGGGGATAAAGAAATATAACTCTTATTTTAGTACTTTTTCTATGTTATACTCCTAGTTTAGTCTTTTTCCCTTATATATAGATAATATTTATACTTCATACATAAATAGAGATATGTAGTACACAATATTAAATAACGGTCGAGTTCTATGGCCACTCAAAAAGAATGACGCACACAACACAGTCTTATTTAGGACAACTAAGGTGTTCCGTTTACAAAATTGATAGTACTTACTCTGAATATACCCTCTCACCCAGTCTCAACACCTACGCATCCCCTCCATATCAAGTGCGGGGTCAAACTTTTTAATATCAAAGTCAACTAAGTTTCTACTTCGTGATTGACGTGGGTAGAGATGAATTGATGTCGAGATTGGATGGAGGGTTTATCGGGGAATTAGGAGGTAGGAAGTATAAAATTTATCAACGAAATATCATAAATATCTCTATTGAGATTATGTGGGTGTTTCTCTGTGCTGGTGTTTATTGGCTTATTGCTGATAAACAGTTTTTAACTTATAAACTATTTAGAAGTCAAATATTTTTTTGTGAAAATAAAATAACTTAAATAATAATAAATCATTTTTAAATATTCATAAATGGCTCGGTATAATTTTGTAAATAAGCTGATCAAAATGGAAAAATAAAAAAACTAACTTAAAAATAAATAGCTCACAGAAACCTGTCATCAATTAATTTATAAACTAAAAATTGCTTATAAGTATTTTTGATGAACTTATAAGCAGAGAAAAACACACATTATTTCTTTCATAACTACTCAAAGTGAATGATTATAGAATATTTCTCATTAAATAATGAACCTTAGTTGAGAGGGTGATACGAAAAAATCTTTTCCCCTAGGTGAAAAAGGTGTTAGGAACAAAAAAGGCCTATGAACGCTAGGGTTTGGAGGTAATCGTCTAGAAACATTATAAAAGCTAGGGTTGGAAGTGAAAATTTCGATACCGGTTGTTTTTGTCACGTTCATAGAAGGTCTTGAGCACCTGAGGGGGGCAAGCGGGTTCGAATTGAGGAGAAGGAGAACGCTCTGGTTTTGCTGCAACCATGGCGACCAGTGAGAAGCAACGATATTGCAATGAGTAAGCTATTTGTTACAAGTAGTTGAAAGATTTCTAAATCATTTTCGGTGCAGGATTGCAGTTCGAGAACTCGTGTGAAATTGGTGTCTTCTCCAAGCTGACAAATGCTTATTGCTTGGTCGGAATCGGTGGATCGGAAAACTGTTACAGGTTTGCGTAAATTTAATACAGTTTTTGTACAATTCTATTCCTGTTCTGTAACTTGGTTGTCGGTAGAGGTTAATTCCAACATGCGAACGCATGGTTGTGTTGGCTTTAGCACATTTGAAGAGCAGTTGTTGGATGAAATTCCTGTAATTAAAACCTCCATAGGTGGTATGCGGATAGTTGGTCGGCTTTGTGCTGGTAAGTTCTCAAATGGCTTTTTGACTAATTACCAAACCTGGCCATAATTGTTAAAAGCTAGAAGTTTGCACTTATTCTTTTGTTTGTCATACACTTTGCAGGCAACAAAAACGGTCTCATTTTGCCTCATAATACTACTGACCAAGGTGACTTTATGATTGAAAAATATTTTTATTTGTGGATGTGTAAATGTGCCTTATGAATGGCTGGATTCAGGTGCTTATCTTTAGATGTTTGGTATTTAGAAGTTTAATTAGTAGTGCCCTTGACCGTATGTATGAGAGAATTTGGATGCCTATCTTTAGATACTTGTTTCTTGAGATTTTTAGATTGTATTTAGGATTTGTTCAGAGATGGATTGTGCAGGCAATATATTTCTTGTGCCAAATGATTGTCTGATTTTGTCATTGTGGTTCCTTCATTTCTTGTTTTGATTGAGTGCCGTCCCTTTCATCTTATTTTGTTGTGAACAGAGTATTTAGTTCTTTATTTAAAAATGTGAAAGCTATGCCCAAAAGTAATAAAAATGATTTAAAAAACCATCAAGATGTTATAACCAATCCTTTTTTCCTTATTTAGAAAATCTCTAAACAAAACTGATGATATATCTAGTGAAGTCATTAGCTAGGAAAAGATGGCTGAATATAGTTTCTTGGTGGTTACTGATTGAAGTATATTTTTTTAAGAACTACACCTGGCAGGTAAAGGATCACTGAGTTTGGCATGTGTATTTGTGGAATTTTTTTTATTATTTATCAAATATATGGAGTGTAACACATTGAAAGAAGTGCTCTTAATTGCTTCTATTTTTCAATTATCTATTTACATAGTGATTGCCGTTCTCACATTTTCATCAGATCAAATATCATGCATTAACTTTTAAGCTTTATTATTCATGAATGAATGAGTAAACTGACGTTTTTGCCATGTTATGTACCTTTCTGCTGGAAGAACTTCAACACTTGAGGAACAGTTTGCCAGATAGTGTTGTTGTTCAGCGCGTTGAGGAGAGATTATCTGCTTTGGGGAATTGTGTTGCTTGCAATGACCATGTTGCTCTTACACACACAGATCTTGATAAGGTGATCGTTTACTTGTCTTCTTTGCCTGATTTTACAGGGTTATGTTTCATGGATCATATCTCATTATGTTGGGGAACTGTTGATGTGATAGATATTTTGAATTCCAAAAGATGTTGGACAATATATATTTCTTTATTCTCTTTCATGGATTTATGTGACCGTTTTTCTGGAGTGCGAACTGCATGCCCTTTGCGCTATGGTGTATGGTTTATTATTAATATTTATCACTATTATTAGTTTTTTTGTTGATATGTCAGGAATCATTTTGGGCTTCATATAAAAGTGATTGCTAATGGAGAGTTAAAAGTTTTTTTCCCAATGATGTCCACCTTCTAACTGATAGTGAACAAATAGTGTGTTTTATATAATACAATATGTAATTATATACAATGTTGGTTTGGCACCCTTCATTTTTATGCAGCAGCAAAGTTCTGCTTTTTGATAAAATTATGTCCCAATAAGAGGATTATTCATTTGGGCTGGATGTATGAGTTGATCTGGAGTTAATCTTTTTGTGTTGATAATTTGACTTGCTATGTTGATGGCAGTCCATTTTCCAACTATCTTTGATCATTATTGTTTATGTAATGGGTTTCTTTTTTTTTGGGTGGGTTTTTAGGAAACTGAAGAGCTGATTGCTGATGTCCTTGGTGTTGAAGTTTTTAAACAGACGATAGCAGGGAATATCCTTGTTGGCAGCTATTGTGTTTTTTCTAACATAGGTGGCTTGGTAAGGACTGTTTACTTTCACAGAGTTGATTATAAGTTCTCTAAGTAGTCTCTGTGTGTATGTTGTGACCAAATAATATAGAGAGAGGGAGCGTGTGTTATCCAACCATATTTCTGTGCAGGTGCATCCACAGACATCCATTGAAGATCTTGATGAACTTTCAACTCTCCTCCAAGTCCCTCTGGTGGCAGGAACTGTGAACCGTGGTGTGGATGTTATTGGTGCGGGGTTAACAGTGAATGACTGGGCAGCATTTTGTGGGTCAGATACCACCGCGACAGAGTTGAATGTTATTGACAATGTGTTCAAGCTGCAAAAGGGCAATCAACCCCGTGCTATTGTTGACGAAATGCGGAATTCGTTGATTGACAGCTACATCTGAAATTTTGCGATCGCCATGTTTCACAACCATTGGCACAGCTTTGTCTAAAGTTTTACAACTGGTGCTTCATAACTATTGGCGTCTTTGTTTTAAACGTGTTTGGATTTTGTATTGTCTATTTTTAGCTTTGTCTGGTATTATGCTAAATGGATGGATATTAACATGATAAATACATTGTTGGTTGTATTTCTCAATTTTTACCAGCAATAATACTTGCGTTTATTGAGCGTTGAACCTCTCTGGGTTTTATATTACTCTCTGTGCCAAAACTTTGCCTGGTTACACTTTGAATTTTTTTATGGGATGAAGATGTCAAATAATGCAAACAACTATTATGCATTCTGATACATTTTTTATGGTCATGAGTCAGACCTAAAATATATGCTTGGCTCAATCTTGTCGTTTCGGTTGAAGCTTGACTTCAACAAATGTTATACTCTCTCAGTTTTAATTTTATTTAGACACTTAGATTTCATGTAATATAAGAAAAAAATGTTAAAAAGTAAAAGTGGATTGTTGAAATTTGTTTAAAAGACAAATTGTGGATTACATGTCTCTTACATAGTTAGGAAAGTATAGAAATGTTTTTTTTGTGAAAATTCAAAAATTAAAGTATCTTGATTAACTTGTAATGGAGGGTGTAGATTCTAAGCTGGGCTAAACCTTGCCTCATTAAGGTTCAAGTCCGAAAGCTAACTCGAATTCAAACTCCTTTCAAAATGCATCTAACCTTATCAAGGTCATGAGCCACACAAATTGAGTAGCTATTAGATGGAATTATATGATACAGAGTTATTAGCATTATAACTGACCCGACCGTGAAACCGAAGATCGAAATAATTGAAATTTTTGTTTCAATTAACCATACTAAAAAAGTCGATTAATTTTGTTAATCATTTCCATTTTTGGTTTCGAGCTTTTGGGAAGCAAATTGTTCGAAAAACCGAAATGTAAACCCATATACCATTTATTTTTCTGTAAAAGCAGTCCAAATAAACATTTACAAGAAAGGGAAAAGAAAAGAAAATGAATTGGAAAATAGTTTTTCAAGTTTGGTTGGAGAGGAAAAGTTCTAAGGAAAATAAAATGAGAAGACAAATGTACTAAATGAAGGGAAAACCAAATTCCTCTCATTTTGGTGAGGAAAATGAAAGAAAATCATTTTTTTTCTTTTTCTTTCAAAGTCTTTGGACTAAACATAGTGTTAAAGCAAGCCCAAATAAACTTCTCAAGCATCTAACGCTTTCAAAAGAAAAAATTTGCATGCACCATTCTCTGCAATTTGAAAATTTCCACAATCCATTTCCCTTTTTTTGTTTCTTTCTCTTGACTGATTCATGCCCCTGATCATTCACCAGGCCCTTTCTACAGTTTGGGCTTTGTTATGTTCGTTTGATCTAACTGAATCTGATTTTTCTAAAGATATGGTCTAATCTAATCTTATTTGAATGAACCTGATCTGATTTCATTTGAATGGAAATTATTGTAAGACCGCATGATGATCTGATCCAAATAAATGTTAAAATTATTATAAAAACTTTATTGTTATTGTTATCATTATTAATTATTATTATTATTACTATAGATTTTATGTGTCTTATGAAACAAAAAATAATTTATTATTATTATTATTATTATTATTATTATTATTATTATTATTATTATTATTATTATTATTATTATTATTATTATTATTATTATATATTTATGTGTTTATGAAACAAAAAAAATTGAGTAATGTAATGAATATGTAGAAAAAGAAAGTCATTGAAAATAATCAATTATTAGAAAATATGGATACTATGTTACAAAATGATAAACTTTTACATATCTTATACTAAGAATGTTAAAGATGTAGATACCGTAATACTCATGTTAGAAATCGTGCTGACATTATATTTTATTTGTAAATGTCCAAAAAAGTTAATTCTGTATCTTTTTTTTTAAGAAATGTGTGTGTGTGTATGTGTCTATATATATATATATATATATATATATATATATATCATTTAATATAAAAAACTAGTGATCTATTTATGATTTTTTTTCATTATTTTTATTTATAGTACTCTCTAAAACAAAAAATCAGTACAACCAAAACCGAAAAAGGAGGATAAACCCAAAAATAATGTAATGACTATCTAATTCCAAAATATGGTAACTCTAAAATGATTTTTAAGAAAATTAGTTTTATGTATTAGCTGTTTAATTAAAAAATTTATTTCAATTACACAAATAAAGAAAGAATTTAATTTAATTAAAAGTAGAAAAATATTAAATAAAACTAATAACTGTGTAAATAAGGCTTACTATGTGAAGTGAGAGTAATTAGCAATGATATGACTGTAATTTGGCTATACATTTGGAGTGAGCAGAGTGGAGTACTAATAGCATGCATATTGGAGCAGTACACATAGCATTAGTATGAGATGTAACAAATGCCGAGATTTCACATTAGTAAATGCCCTTAATTTTGTGGGCATATATAACATGAGAAAATGTAACAAATACCTAGAGTACACATTAGGAAATGTCCTTAATTTCCAAACATTCAACAAATAAACGCGAATGAAGTGCTCTCCCATTGACAACAAAGATACATTTCGAAAGAAAGTGGAAACTATGAGACACACTAGCCATTGCAGAAAAGGTTTTGTGTTGCCTGGCAAAAAATGCGGCAAAAAAATTGATAAACTACACATAAGAGTTGAAGACATACGTATGGTTCGTGCACCCTCCAATATCAATTAGTAGACATACATTTTGTCAGGCACCGCAAGGGCAGTAGTGCATCCGTGGAAGGTTGGTACGTTGAAAAGAAGCTTGGATCGCGTTGAAATGACTCTACATAACCTTCAAGAATTGTTACAATTTCCTTGAAGTGTGGCCGCTTGCGAGGATTACTTGCCCAACACCGGTTAACAAGATTCTGGAATGCCATTGGGCACTCAGAATGCAATGGTGGTCTTGCATTCTGTATGGAGGAAAAAAAATTGATACAGTTTCTAAACAGATATATATGCCCACAAGAAATTGTAGTTTAATGTATAGAGGCTAGGGGAGGGGGGCTTATATAAGGACTGATGATCTATGGGTGAATAACTCAGACTGAATACATGTGTGGTAATAGCACATTCTCCCCACTCTCCTCTACACAGAAGTTTTCTCACTTCAGATTGAATATGTAGTTCAAAATACTTCTCACTCTTTTAAACAAATTTCAATAACTCACTTTTTCAATCTTTGACATGTATTCTACTCCGTAACATTTTTTTTTAATCTCTGTGAAATCAAATTGAACAAATTAATTTGAAATGAAGGGAGTGGTAATAGCTAGTAATACTAATCATATTTATTGTGATAGTATTTGTATATTAATGAGCTTCTTCTATTATTTAGCAGTTAATGGCCACTCTATCCTATTGAAAGCATGCTGTCCACAGTTTCATTCTTCAACTCTATACCACGGCAACAATGCCATAACCGTAGGTAATGGTCACTCCATCCCAATTGCTCATACTGGCACTTGTTATGTTTACACTCATGCACATATTTTTATGTTGGTGACACAAACCATGTTCTCTCTATCATCTCTAAGCTTTTATCCGTTCACTTATTTTAAAACGCCCATGTGAGCGTGGTTACTAGATTAGACTAGTAATGATACTAAAAACAGGTTTATTCTAGAGCATATTGTTCCCTTTGAGAAGAACAAGGAAACTTCTCACTCGCCATTGGATGGATGAAAAAAAAGGACTAGATTGCAAGAAAAGCCTCATCAGAATACTGCATATATATCCAGAGGAGTGAAAAGAAATGGAAATAGCTCAATAAGATGGGAATGAAAGCATGTACCTTTTGGCAGACAGCAAATGCTGCCTGTTCTGGTGTCATATTATCGAATGGAGTTAATGCCGTTAAGAGTTCCCAAAGAACTATGCCGAAACTGTAGACATCAACTTTTCTAGTGTGAGGTTTTTCCTTGATCATTTCTGGTGCCATCCAACGGTACGTTCCGGTGAATCCCTTTGCACTACCACATTGGGATTCTAAGCACGATATCCCGAAATCAGCGACTTTCACACACATATCATCATCAAGCAACAAATTTTCCGATTTCAGATCTCTGTGGAGTATCCCCAGAGCATGAAGGTACTGCATCCCGCGTGCAATGTCAAGCGCCAACTTCAGCACCAGGCCGAAAGGCACGGAGTACGGTTCCTGCTGATGTAGGTATTTTCTTAGGGAGCCTCCAGGTACATACTCGGTGATTATGCAGAACACAGGGGGTTTCTTACATGCCGCAACAAACTGCAGCCAAGGAGGTAAAGATGAAATGTAGATTGTAAGAGGTGGCAAAGAGCATCATGACATGGGCCTAACAATGTGTTTCGAAAACTCTGAAACAAGTGTCAAGATTTTTGTAACAAAGTCAGCTCAACTAAACGAATTCATTGTGGAACTCAAGGCTTATCCTTCAATGTGAACCCAACTAATCCCACATAAGTAAATCATTTTGGAGCCCATTCTACTGCCAGAACATACTTTAAGGGTCCGTTTGGTACCCGGAATTGACGAAATTGAAATTGAATTGAGAGTTGAAATTCTATGTAATTGATTCGGATGGAATTGAATTCTCCAATTCCAATCCATTTTTTACACTATCAATTCCAAATCCACATATTCATGTGCTATCAAACAACAGAATTGGAATTGTTATCCCCAGTTCCGATTTCATAGTTTGATTTCCGTATACCAAACCGAGCCTAAATCTAGTTTAATGGAACGAGGATTGCAAAAATATCTTCTTCTTCTTCTTCAAGATTATTTTGATTTCATCAATACAACTAAAAACTTGCTTTAGTTATTGGGAAAAATCTGTCTACATCGGGTAACAGAGTGAATACCTCAGATCTATAAGAATATCACTAACTTTTCTATCTCAAAATGAAAAGCCTTGTCTTATATCAAAATAAAGAATATCACTAACTTTTCTATAAGAGAATGTCCACTTGCGCATTAATGTACATCCAACTCTTTCTTTCCTTTTTTTGGGAGTTTCCTGAACTGTAACAGCAATGAAGCAATCGGAGATGGCCAGACTTTCACTATTACGCTACCACATTTTGGGACTAATCCACTTAATCATATATATATATACATACAAGCGATATCCAGATCAAACAAAAAAAAAGAACTTAGAAGAGATCCTTACAGTGATGATATTGGGATGTCTGAGCCGAAGCAGCAACGCAACCTCAGAGGAGAACTGCTTCTCGAGGAAAGAGGCCAAATCCCCATCCTCCTCAGGCTGGCTAATGAGTTTAATTGCAACATCCCTCTGCTTGTAAATCCCTCTGTAGATCCTACTGTGCCGCCCAGAGGCGAACTTGTTCCCAATATATAGCTCCGACATGTCGGCGCTCCACTCATGGCCGCCTTCCTCCCTAATCGCCGCCCCCGAGGAGACGAGGTACTTGGACCATGACGCTGCCCGCTTGTACTCTGCCAGCGACAGCCGCCTCTCAAGCTTCCCGTTACTCGCCACAATTTGCTTGAACCAGTTGAAATTCTTCATACTATAAACAATAATTCTATGAATCCCTAAAGAGTAAATCAACCCCACACACACAGGGAGGCACGAAAAACGAATCTAAATTTGATCGAATTGCAGTACATTGCTACATTCCAGAATTTCCTTTTCCAAATCCGTGCTTGGCCGGATGATTGCTCATCTTAAGAGCTCAAATTGAAGGAAAAACATCAGAGAAGAGAAGCATCCATCCGAGAGCTTAGTTCAATTACTTCTTATATGTATACATAATGAGCATTACAAATGATGAGCTGGAGTTGACGGAAGGGAAATAATTAGAAAAGCATGAGCTGGAGCGGCTGAAACTGCGTCGTATGATGAGGGGGGGCCTGAAAGGGAAACGGGGAGAGGAGGCGGAGGAAGAGGGAAGGGATCTGTAGGAGAACGGAGGAATTGCGGAGGAGAGGTGGTGGAGGTGACGGCGGAGGAGAGGTGGCGGAGGAGGTTGGGTCGCCGTGTTGGTGGTGTGTGTGTGTGATGTGCCCCTCTAATTGTAATGTGCGTGGAATGACAACACAGTGCTCTAACATTCATAACGTGCGAAACACCACTTCAGAGGAGACATAGCGGGGTATATGATTGTGACTGACACTTTCTGCTACCACATGTACCCTCGTTATTGATCCGAATATCCAAAATGCCATCTCTGGTACGGAGAGTACTCCCTCCTCCACCTACCTTCCCTATTGGGTGTGGTGTGTGTGCTCCATCCCCTTCTTCTACTTCACCACATCAATTTTCTCCATTTCATTTCTCTTTCATTCTAAAAAGCGGTGTGGGCCCCTATTTTTTCATTTTTAATAAATATTATCTGTACGATACTCATTTAATTTTTTAAATTAAATTTAAAAAAATTTTGAAAAACTAAGCATTGATTTTTTAAAAAATGGGAATTAGAAGCGTAGAAAACTACTCCCTCCGTCCTCCATCGATCTTCCTAGATGCTTTTCATTAAGGTCAAATTTAACTCATTTTGTCTTCTTATTTTTACTACATATTTCATAAAATAATATAGTCTTATCATCTCTTATTTTTATAAAGCTTTTTATGTAGTTTTTTATACACGAGTATAAACTTTTGTCTTTAAATTTTATACCTATAATCAAATAAATTGAATTTAAAATAAAATTGGTTAAACCTTGAAACTGTTTGTTCTAAGGTGTTGGCTAATCTTTTGGCATAATAGAAAAACATTTTTGTTAGAAAATTTACTAAGTAGAAACTTCTATTTGTTAGGAGATGTTTTTAACTTTGGCTTTTTAAAGCTTCTATATTTTTTGAAGCGACACAGAAGATACTACAACACGTTTTGACAGGATCAACAAGGCCTATGTGGAAATTTGGGTCTTCGATATGCAATTTTACACGCTAGAGACCTATTGAGATTACAAATACCAGCGGGTATTTAGTGGGCTTTATATTACTTGTAGATCAAGAGGGTTTTATTCAAAATAACACATAATGACCTATTCCTGTTAGGATAGGGGTTTGAAGAGGTTTATATATACGTAGAAGATCCATGAGATTCCTTGAAGCAATTGTGAAGGACAATATTCAGAATATACGTTGATGTAGAGCGTCCCAAAGCGATCTTTGTTGGACCGAACGTCGACCCAAACAAAGGACTGGGTCAAGGGCTAATCGGTTGAACTAGGGCCAATGCTGTAATGCTCCAAAACATACCCTAAAATTATTATTGAATTATTTATGAATTAAACAAAAATCACTACAAGAAAAAGGACTTTTAATTACGAATCAATTATGACGGGTTGATAATAGTCTCAGTAAATGTGTTATTAATACATTTTTAATGAGGGGAAAAAACTATAGTTAAAAGGTATTACTTTTAGTGACCAATTTTTTTTCATTTTTCTTGTTTTAAAGTTAATACTCTCATTATATATTTATATATTTCTATATTGGCCAAACTAAAATATATTAAAAAATAAAATTATTTAGAAATACGGAGTAGTTATTATTCCTTGAAAAATACAGCGGCAATCCAATTGGGATTGCCGCCTAAGTTCCCTTTTCGCTGTTGAAGTATTTTTGGTGAAAATTTCTCCCCAGATTCACAATCTCTCCTCAACCGTTGTTTCGCTGAAGTCCTGCCGCTGCCGCCTGCGTACAAGCTCTCCCTCAGCCACTCCTTCCCTTCAGACGACCAACAGTATTCGACCAGAGACCTTTTTTTCTTGGTTTTTCCCTGCTGTTTCTAGGGATTCGACGAGAGGAACAAGAGCTCCGTCCGCCACTCGTTTCCTGTCTTTCGCTTACTCAATTCTAGGTAATTTTCTTTCCCAAATCAGGTTATAATGTTTAATTTTTTCCCCAGTATGATGATTTTGGTTAATTTCTTCATTAGGGTTTGAGCATCTAATTGACTTTACTTTTGTTTGAATCCATTCTGTTTATAAAGTGTGGTGCAATTGGGTTTGAAGTTTGATTTTGTGGCAGCATTTGTGGCCGTTCCTGAATGTATTTTTTTTGTATTTGTTTGAGCAACCTAAATACTTTGTATTTATGAAATTGCTAGCTTCTGTACTGGCTTAATTCTGGTTTTAAGGTTGCTTAATACTGGCCAAGTAATGGTTTTCAATTTGCCCTCAGAAATAGAACTATGTGCCAAGGGGGACTCAGGTACATTTTAGGTTGCCGTGTTGACATTTTCTATATATGTATATGTTCTATGCAGTGTCTGTATTGAAGGAGAAACTGGCAGCACTTGGTTCATTTGGAGTATTAGCTGATCATCAACTTCAAGCAAAGCTGCAAGAGCATCACTTAAAAGGGTGAGTTAGGAATGTTTGTTTGTGAGTTTTGTCTGACCTTATATGAAAGTGAATAAATGTCAATGCTCAAATCAGCTAGTTTTCCTGAATTCTTTACTTTATTCTTTAATAATTGAAGGCTTGAATTCAATTCCAAGTTCTTGACACCTTTGGTGTAGGTTTGGTCTATGCTGTAATGCTCCAAAACATAATTGGGCCAATGCTGTAATGCTCCAAAACATACCCTAAACATGCTCCAAGTTCTTTAATTTGGTCTCAGTCGGGGAACACTTTTTGGTCTACGTTTGGTCCCAGCAGCACATTCTTTACTTTTAATTTGAAGCAAGGCTACCGCCTCAGTTTCGCCTCACCGCCTCAACCGCCTCATTCTGCCTCGGCTTGGCATGGCGTACGCCTCACATACCCTTATCGAGGCTTACTCTTCAGAGGCTTAAAAGACTCGCCTCACGGCCTTACCGCCTCGAGGCACTCCGCCTCGAACGCCTTGAGCTTTGGACCAAAATGAAATGTGTTTTGATATTCAATATCACAAACTGGATAAATCTTGTGGATATAAATCCAAAATGAAATTGTTTGAATGATCTTGATTAGGAACCAGAGTACAGACCCAAATCAAGAATAAATAAAGATTTTGATTTATGATGAGAATTTTTGAAATGATTTATTGAAATAAATCATGAGAAATAAATAATATAAATTAAATGTGAGAATCATTCTGAACAAAGGTCAACTAAATCAGTTTTAACTCTGTCAAAAGTCAAACACCCAAAAATATAATGCCAGAAAAAGTATTACAAATAAATATAAAAATTACATCGTTAGATAGAGTTTGACTATCTGATCGCAATAGTGAAAATAGATTTCAATTCGGAGAAAGTTAGACCAAAAAGTGTTCCCCGACTGAGACCAAATTAGTCCCAATCAAGGAGGAAGGGGAACGTAGTAAATCAGAACTCAATCACAGCCCAGCGCACGAAGGAGGATTCACCAATCACCTACTTGTCTTCTTTCTTCTTCTATGGCTATAAAAGGCTACCCTCCTCTTCTTCATTTTCACACCAAAATTTTTAATTCTTCCTTCACATGAGAGCTGAGAGTATAGAGAACACAATGATGATGCCCTCGCTTGAGGTTGTTAGAGTTGGTAGTAATCGTCATCAGAAGTTTCACTGAAAAATTTCCAAAACCTCCATTTAAAGCCTGGGGTAACCCCTTATATATATCTAGTGATTAGAATGTTCATATAGATCATTTCTACGTCCATAAATGATCGTTTAGTTGAGTTTTGTGTTTGACATGCTCTAACAACCAAGAATCATAAACCTTGAATTTGTTGTTAAAACTTCGAATTAATGATGCCAAAATGATCTATGAACCTTGGACAACATTTCTATATAGTTTAATTGAAATTTGGTAGCTTTAAATGATGTTCACAAAAATTAGACAGAGGTTGAAGACGAAGTACTATTCACCAAACCGAACCATGAAAACGTAACGGTAGTCTGCTAGTGTCGCACGGTAGCCAGGTACTGTTCAAATGGTGGCTGGTTACCATTGAAACGGTACATGCTTTACCGTTTGGGCTCATGTTTCTAACCAGTTACGGCTGATGGGAATTAGCCCAACAACTATGGCGACGAAGAATGAATAATAATGATAATTAGTCAATCTCGATGTATTTCTATTACTTTGTGTACATTAATGTTTTCACCCTATTTACAATGGAGGGTTTTCCCTCTATTTATACTATGTTACGATTACAAACATAATACGCACTCATCGTGCGCATAAACCTCGCCATTATCTCTTGCACGTCGATTGTGGGGATTCATCATCTCAACCCCCGATCTTCCCACGACTTGGTGTTGTATAGTTTCCCTTCGTTAAACGTTTGGACCTATCGACAGCAACTGGGCCTTTTGTTTCCTGTTCACCAGCCTTTGTTCCACATCGACCCAAGTCACTCCTTTGGACGGGGCTGTTCATTTATGCCTATTGGGTCCAGATATCCATCACAAGCCCCCTAGTTTCTTATCGGCACGTCGCTAAGGAACTACACAGTTAAGCCGCCCTTGGTCTTAGCGCTGGTTAGGAAACGATTGCATTTCCCACTCTCAGCTCTGAGTTGGGTCGTTTTCATTCCCGCTCCAACTCGCTACCCTTTTCAGGCATCTGCACTGTTCAAAATTCATCCCCAATTTTCTTTGTGAATTCCCCAATCTTCTACGAAGGTTTCCTGCAACATGGCCCAATCCGTCAAAATTGCTCACCAAGAACTCGGCCCCTCCAAAATCAAGAACTCTGAACTCGCTCTCATGCACGATCTCTTGGGAATGCCTTTCAAAATCCACCATCCGGATGCCGTCGGCGGGTTTTCACTTACCCACAATCCGGCGCCAGAATGTTTTATGGTGAAGCACTATACTTCGGTTCTTCAAAGTTTCATACTTCCACTCCACCCCTTTATCCGCGAGGCGTGCAGAAATTGGGATCTTCTCCTTGGGCAATTCATAGCCAATGCGCACAAATATCTGGTCTCCTACATCTTGCGCTGATGTGACAAGCTTAGGACACTTTCTGTGAGGGATTTTATGCACTTGTTCAGCCTTAGAGGTGATTTCCCCTTTTCCAGCCTATATCCTAATCAGAGATATGTTCTCTTCACCATGGTTGAGCTGCGTATTAAGAATTGGGAAGACAAGTTTTTTTTTGTGATTAAGGCTCCTCCTGACCAGCCTTTCGACCTTCCAACTAAGCCTCGTAAAACCAGACTCCCCCGGACCCCCCTTTCTAAGGGTTCCCATGCTGAGAGAGCCTTTGAGGAGATGAAGAATACCGCCCTCATTGATCATGAGCACCTCAAGACCCCTACATTGTTCAGACAAGCTAGGTTCTATTTCTTGGGCAACCGTCCCATTATTTCATCTAAGTCAGCCCAGCCCATCTCCTCTGACTCTAACGTCAGCGGCTCTTAGGATCCCACTTCTCTTGAGCGAAGTGAAACCCAGTCTTCTGATGCTGGAAATCCCATGGTCAAGCTTGCCAATCTTCCTATTGATCCCGGGTCCACCAACACCTCTTCCTCGGCTCCAGATACATCATCTCCTGGTCTTGTCTTCTAGACACCATCTACTACACAGAAGCATAAACATTTACACATTTTTGTGTTGTCCCAACTCAAGTGGCAAAAAGGTTCCCCCCTTAAGACGGTTTGCCAGGTTTCAGGAGATACTCCTACCCCTACTGTCCTAGAGGTAGTTTCGGACCATCCTCCATCGGGTGCGCCTTCTGAGGATGAAAACTCAGTGGCTGGATGGATGATGCGGCCTAGGCTTCATAGGATGATCACTAGCCTGAGGGTGTTGATGAAGCCACCACACCTACCAAACAGTCCCCTATTACCACTCTTCCTGGATCTCCATCAAAGGTCCCTACCAATGCAACGAGGCCCCCAAGTGACCATGTTCAGATGTCTTTTTCATCAACTTCACCAACCTCTTCATATGTTGCCGCCATCCTGTGTCCTCCCATCACTTACAGAGTCAGTCCAGACACCCTGGTCCGCTTCAAGGAGAATTGGACCACCATCTAGCGCAAGCTCCAGATGGCTAAGGACGCCCATTCCCAAGGGAGGATGATGAAGGAGCAAGCCTGGGAAGTGCTCAAAAGTTCTCCCCCGGGTTCAGTACATGAATGGCGAGACCTGGCCGGGCTTGCCACCTTGGGACTCTTGGAGCAAGTGTTTTGTTTCCCCAAATCCTTGATGTCGCACTTTTGTTTTCTTTTCCTCTCCTTGATTTTACTTCGTTTAGGCCGATACTGTTGTCTTCAAGTTAGTTGATGATTACCTCGGAGTCTCTACTTGGAATTCCCAAGCCTTCTCTATTCTAGGTGAGAAGGAAGCAATGATCCAGGAGCTGCAAGAATAGGTCCGGGCTGCCCAAGAGAACAATACCCACATCTTGGAAGTGAACAACCAGCTTAATGAAGACCGGGCACGCTGGGAGACCAGTTGTAATGAGCTCAAGGAAGAAGTCACCAAACTGAGTGAGGCCTCTGAATCCTTCGGGGTACAAGAGTTAAAATCCATGCTACAAGAGAGAGATATCCGAGAAGAGCCCCTGAGGCCTCAAATTGCTCATTTCACGGCCCAGATCCAGGTCATGGAGGGTGAGTTCCAGAAACTAAACTCCATGATCACAGGGCTTGAGTCCGAGAAAGTCACCCTCCAAACCTTTGTAGATGAGAAAGAAGCATGGATCATGGAGCATGAAACAGAGTTGTAGGAAGTCCAGCAAGACCGTGCTGAAATAAGGGAGAGGTCCATGGAGAGGCCAACTTTTGCATGGTGCAACCCTAGCCTTTCTCGGGAATCCGCAATCAACTTACTCGCCAATCGCATTTCTCGCTTTGACTTCTCTACCTCTTTCGCATACCCCAAAGAGATTTTTCCCTATATAAAGGGACCTAGGCATGCCAATTCCATCATCTTCCATCCTTATCATTTTCCATAATGGCCGATGGTGCCAAGAAGCCCATCTTTATTGATATTACTATTTCTGATTCTTCATCTTCTGAGTCTTCTTTGCCAAGATCTTCTTCTTCTTCTGAACCTTTTGCTACTTCTAAGAAATTGATGTATGTGAATCTATTAAAGTGAATATTCGGAGAATATTTAGATATATTTGTGTATATATTATTTTGGTAGTTTTCCTTGTATAGGGTTTATTCTTTCCTTTTTCTTTTCCTTTACTAATTATGAGTCTCAACATGTGAGATTCTATATATATGTCTTCATTTTAAATTGTAAATAGAAGAGAGAAATACAAGAGAATTTCCTCCCAAATAATTCTCTCATGGTATCGGATCCAGTTTTGAATTCTCGAGACCTCAAATATGCTTCTTCCCCTTTCGGTGGGCATACACAATTCAATGCCTACCGGCTGGATATTGTAATTTTTTATTTTCTTTGATTGTCCTCCCTCATTCTTGGAGAAGTGGTCGGACAAGGGTTGTTCTACAAAAACAAACAACTCTTTCCGCGTCTATTGTTCACGATCGACCAGCATCGCGTCCATCGATCGTCGCCTCTTGATGCTGCTGAAGTGCCGGAAAGGTCGACCGTTGCTAAAGAACGGTCGAGTGGGTCGACTGTCCCGACGGTAGTTTCTTTTGATCGCGGCTATTGTTCACGGTCGCCCGACATCGCGTCCATCAGTTGTTGCTCAGTTTTTGTCGTTCATTGCTGCTGCCGAGTTTCGAACAGTCGACCGTTCTGTAAGACATCGACCGTCCCGTCGGCAGTCTCCTGTTGTTGGTCTCTTGGATTCGGAACATGATTGATCCAACCTTGAGATCCAGCATACTCTATGTGGAAAAAGTTTCAGATCTATGGAATGATTTGAAGGTCTGCTTCTCTGTGGTTAATGGACCAAGGGTTCAGCAGTTGAAGCGGGTTTTGGCGGAACGCAAACTAAAGAATCTCACCATAATGGAATATTATAGGAAGATGAAGAAGTTGTGGGACGGTCTTGCAGATTTGGAGCAGTTCCCAATTTGTACGTGTAGGAATTGTAGGTGCGACCTGCTGTAGAAGCTTGCAAATTACTCCCTCCGTCCCACTCTCTTTGTCCACTTACCTTTTGGCACACCATCCAATGCACTTCTTTAATCCATTTTATCTTGTAATTTATATATTAAAAAATTATAAAAATTATATATTAATAATTTATATGTTAAGACAAATCAAACAAGATCATGCATGACTATATTTATGCTTACACATTGAGAGAATTTGATGAGTCAAAGTGCTTAGATGAACAGTTCCAAAAGTCAAAACTGAACGAATATAGCGGGACGGAGGGAGTATTATTTTTTATGTCCAAGTTGGGCATGTTGAACTCTCATGCTCCTGCTTGATGGGGGGTGTTAGAGATAGAAGAAGGAAGCTAGATTGAATAAGGAAAGTGTTAGAGAAAGAAGAAGGAAACATGATTGAAGAAGGAAACCGAAACCCTTTGGGATTAGGTTTAGTATCTTTCCTAGTTGGATTAGGTTTAATATTTAGTATCTTTCCTAGTTGAATTAGGTTTAGTATTTAGTGTATTTCCTAGTTGGATTAGGTTTAGTATTTACCATCTTCCTATATAAAGTGAGTTAGATCGTTGTATTCAAAACCAAAATTCAAAAGCAAATTTCAACATACAAATTATTTTCTCTGTTATTATTTTCTACAGAATCTTCCTGAACCCGAGAATAGCCATTGCTCTCCTGCACTAAAAAAATAAACGTTGAATTTAATATCTAACATATTACAGATAATACTTGACATGGAATTAAACTAAACTTTTACTTTTTGTTAAAAATAAAATTATTAAACATTAATAAATCATGTATATATAAAAATGAGACTCCTATTGTTATAAAGTTGACATATGCATTATTTATAAGGCTTAGTTATCCTAATTTAAGACAAGAAAATGTGAAATAAACATTTTAGGATGAAGTTTTAAATAAATTTAAATATGAAATTGAGATTTTCATTTTATATAATAATATTTTTCCTAATTCATTATTTTTCCCTCTTCATTTAAAACTAAACTTTCAAATAATAAATATGTTACCCTCTTCATTTGAGTATTTGTTTAGGATATGTTAAAATAAAAATAGTTCTGAATCTATTTATTTCAATATTAATTTAAAATTTAAAAAAAAATTATTTTTAAAACTACATTAAAAAAGTTTAAATGCAAGAAATGATTGGGTTATAATAGTCTTAAAGTAAAAAAAATCAATGCATAATTTGGTAGTTTTAATATATTGATTTTTTGATTTGATTTAAGGACTAGCAAATTCATAGTTTTATACATTTTATGATTTATAAAATATGAAATAAATATTCTTAGATGAAATCTCTTAATAAATTTTATTATGAAATCGATATTTTAAAAGGAGTTAGTTTTGTACCTATGTATTTTAATATGGATATAAAATAAAAACAAACAATATATCTTTAAAACTACATTAAAAAATTTTAAAAATTGATTGGGTAGTTTGAATGTATTAATTTTATGATTTTATTTAATGAATAGAAAAGTTAATGAATAGAAAATTAAAAAATATACTATTTTTAATTATCTGTTAAAGATATGATACTATAATTAAATTATAGAATATAGTTAATGAAAATAAAATGTGTGATCCTTAAATTAATAGTCTATACAAAATATCCCTAGACTATTGCTTTAAATGATTAACAATTAAAATCGAAAAAAAATTACTACACGATTAAATGATTTCGTATTCAAACGTAAAGAAGAGAATGAATAAAAGTTTGCCAAATGTATTTATAAATTTCTATTTAGAATCATGGTATTACCAATGATTTTTATATATTTTTTGTTTGAATTAATGCATTGGAGAATAATCATTGAATTTTTATTATTTTTAAATTTTATTTTTTTTGAATCCTAGAGTTAGTTATCCAAGATTTCAAAATTTTGAATTATGCGGAAAAGAGGAAGCATATTTTTTAATCGATAGGAAGAAGGAGATAAAAATCATAATAACGCTGGGGAGATGAATCAATTTTTTTGCTTATCTTTATCAATGCAAGAAGAAGACTCATGTTTTTTATTATCATAGAATCACATGATCAATGTTACAATTCTCATACGGATTACAACGGACGGGGAAGATGAACGGCCCCGCAAATAAAAAATATAAATAAAATTCTGAATTTATAATTTATTCAGAATATTACAAAATAAACAAAGTTGGAAAATAAAAAATTTATATCTTCAAATGGCCTTGTTGTACGAGGACATTAAGCACTGGACAGCGAGGACGTTAAGCACTGGACAGCGAGGTCATTAAGCACTGGACAACGAGGTCTTTAAGCACTGGACAGCGATTCAAGGACGTTATGCACAGGACAGAATGCAGCGAGGTCTTTATGAACTAGTCCTGCAAAGAAAACACCACGGAAGGACAGCGGAGTCGCCGGAGCTGTCCTTAAGGTAATAGTGCCCGCCTACCGTACCGGAAAAAACGTGGGCACTCTCATCCCAGGATAAAACCGCTATCGTGTGTGGTGATTGTACGGACCAACCACACACCAACGAACAAGAACAACGTAGGAACGTTGGCGACCGGAAAAAATGAAGGTAATCGCCGGAAAAATTGGCAAGAAAACCAAGAGCTCTCCTCAAAGTTAAACAAGGACAAAAGTGTTAACTTTTTCCTTCTCCTCTTTTACTTCCCACGTATGGATGCTCTCCAAAAAAAAAAAAGAAGAGTCCCTCCATTTAAATAGGCATTTTCATGGCTCTTCATTTTGTAACTTATATGCCATGAAGGCACATTCAATAGCCATGACTCACCATCATTAGTAATATTTTTAATGGTGTGTTATTACCACCATTAACATGGGGGTTACACCCATAATGTTTAAAATTCTTCCTATTTAATTGGAGATTAATGGCCAGTTAACTCCGTAAAAGTGGAATAATTTTAAACATTACGTAACGGATTAACTCTGAGAATCAATTTCTCATTCACCCTTCTACCATTTTTGGCGTATAATATATCAAAATATTTATCTCATTTAAGAGAACACACGTCCATTAATTAACGGTTAAAACCGTTAGTGGACCTATTGATAATTATACCCAAGTTGGTCCATTTAATGCCTATTAAAATGCCAAAAATTCCAACAATCCCCCACATGAATGAAAAATTGATTTGAGGGGGTCGACAACATCCCATGATTGAAAACCTGCAAAGAACAGGTAAGTGTCTCCACTTTTGAACCTGTCCCTTGTAAAGTATACCTTCTTTACTGGCTGTTCAGTAGAACGCGATGTCTTTGAACTGTACTGCCGTTTGTGTAAACGATAGTATACCATACACAGATTCCAACCAAACGTCATTCTGTTCTCATGGTTGTGCCCATTTCGGTCGTGGGACACGCGCCTGGTTCTGCGAGAGTGTTTAGAGGATCAAGCCCAGAATCCTCTGTTTGAAGCGACCACACTTCACTCTTACATAGGTGATTCTTCTTAGAGTATCCCGATTACTCCACTTAGACCACAGTGTCTAATGTTCAAGAATCATTAAAGCATATTTATATGCTAACCTCGTCATTTCCGGGAGTCACTGTCTTAAGCAGGAATGGAAGGGACTGACCTGGGGAACCGGCACCGCCCCCACAGTGACCGCGCTTCATCCTACAAGTAGGTTGTCCCATTGAACCTGGGTACCAGCCAGGTTGGGTTTTCCTTCATAGGACTTTCTTAGCACAAGGACTTGAAACCCATTCCTGCCACCAACTTCTCATGCAACTCATTTGTTAACCCTTTGGTTAGCGGATCTGCCAGATTATCTTTTGACTTCACATAGTCAATCGTGATAATCCCAGTTGTGAGAAGTTGTCTAATGGTTTTATGTCTATGACGAATATGTCTAGACTTACCATTATACATATTACTCTTTGCACGTCCTATTGCTGATTGACAATCACAATAGATGCAAACTGGTGGGACCGGTTTATCCCATCTTGGAATGTCCTCTAGGAAGTGGCGTAGCCATTCAGCTTCCTCTCCACATTTGTCTAAAGCTATAAACTCAGACTCCATGGTGGACCTAGAAATCACTGTTTGCTTTGAGGATTTCCAAGATATTGCTGCACCCGCTAGCGTAAAGACATATCCACTTGTGGACTTCAAGTCTTTACTATCAGATATCCAATTCGCATCCGAGTATCCTTCCAATACCGGTGGATATCTTGAGTAGCATAATCCATAGTCACGTGTATACCGCAGGTATCTCATCACACGTACAATAGCCTTCCAGTGCTCATCACTTGGATTGCTAGTGTATTTACTCAGCTTACTTATGGCACAGGCTAAATCTGGTCGAGTGCAACTCATTAGATACATCAAACTTCCAATAACTCTCTCATACTCGATTTCAGAGTTACTAGAACCTTGGTTTTTAGCCAGGTGTGCGTTGACGTCCAACGGCGTCTTTGCTACTCTAACGTCATCCTTGTTGAACTTGTCAAGGATTTTATCAATATAATGGGATTGGCTCAGTGCTAGACCCCCAGGTCTTCTCACAATTTTAATTCCAAGAATTACTTCAGCCAGACCCATATCTTTCATGTCAAATCGCGAGTTTAACATGTCTTTGGTAGACTTGACCATCTTGTCATCACTACCAACTATGAGTATGTCGTCTACATATAGACACAACATGACATACCCTTGGGATGTGTTTTTTAGATAAACACACTTGTCTGATTCATTAATTTTGAACCCAGAGTTCATCATTACCTGGTAAAACTTCTCAGGCCATACTTTTGGCGCCTATTTAAGACCATATAATGACTTAACAAGTTTACATACTTTCCTTTCTTGACCAGGAACTATAAACCCTTCTGGTTGTTCCATGTAGATCTCTTCTTCTAGATCTCCATTCAGGAAAGCTGTTTTCACATCCATTTGATGTACTTCTAAGTTCCACAAGGAAGCTATTGCAAGTATCATCCTAATGGAATTAATCCTTGACACAGGGGCATATGTATCAAAATAATCAAAGCCCTCACGTTGATTGTAACCCTTAATTACAAGTCTGGCTTTGTACTTATCAATGGAACCATCTAGTTTCATTTTCCTCCGAAAGATCCACTTAGAACCTAACAGTTTGCACCCAGGAGGCAGGTTCACTAACTCCCAAGTGTGATTCTGCATAATAGAATCAACTTCACTTTTAATTGCCTCTTTCCACTGTCAGACGAAGTCACTGCTTCACGATAAGTTCGTGGTTCATTTTCTAATAAACATGTTAGAATATCGGGTTCAGTCTCTATAAAAAATGATAGAGTCCCCGATTCAAATTCCAACAAATAAGTTAGAAAAACATTACCAAAGGACTTCTGAGTCCGTGTCCTTTTACTTCGTCTTAGTTCAGTCTCAGTTTCGGTTTCATCAATTATACCGGTATTAAACTGATCCGAGGAACCATCGTTCAACATTTCATCATGTGAACGTTTGGAAGAACTTGCTTCTTCCCTCAACTTTAACGGAAATATATTTTCGAAGAATGTTGCATTCCTCAATTCCATTATCGTGTTCTTATGTATTTCTGGACTATCAGACCTATACACTAAGAATCGATATGCGCTACCACTGTAGCCAATAAAGATTCCATCAACAGTCTTTGGACCAACCTTTATTTTCTTTGGTGGTGGTGCTAAAACTTTTGCAAGGCACCCCCACACTTTCAGGTATTTATAGGAAGGTTTCCTATTATACCACAACTCGTAATAAGGAGTCTTATCGAGTTTCTTTTGGGGTATTTTATTTAACAAATAATTGCTAGATAAAATAGCCTCCCCCCACATATTTTGGGGTAGCCCCGAACTGAGTAACATCGCATTCATCATATCTTTGAGAGTGTGATTTTTACGTTCCGCCACACCATTTGATTGAGGTGTGTATGGCGGGGTTACTTGATGCACAATCCCTTGTTGTGCACACAATTCGGCGGATGGAGCTTCGTACTCCCCGCCCCTATCACTCCTAATCGCTTTAATTTTGCGATTGAGTTGATTTTCTACTTCATTCTTATACCGAATGAAAGTGTCCAACGCCTCATCTTTACTTTTAAGTAAATAAATAAAGCAATACTTCGTGCTATCATCGACAAAAGTGATAACATATTTGTTACCACCTCTTGAAGGCGTTGCTTTGAAATCACACACATCCGTGTGAATTAAATCTAGTGGCTGAGTGGTTCGCTCAATTGTTTGAAACGAACTTCGTGTTGACTTTGCTTCGACACACGTCTCACATTTGTGGGACAAGTCGATGTCAAACTTAGGGATATATTCCATGTTAATTAATTTCCGAAGGGATGCATAATTAAAATGTCCTAGTCTTCCATGTCACACATCGAAAGACTCACAAACATAGGCAACATGAGTTTTATTAACTTTCTCAACAACAGTGAGTACATTAAGCTTAAAAAGCCCATCAGAAATATAACCTTTGCCTATAAATATTCCCTTTTTGCTCAAGATCAGCTTATCCGACTCGAACACCATGCGGAATCCATGTTTGTTCAATAGTGAGCCTGACACCAAGTTCTTTCGTATGTCCGGCACATACAACACATCATTCAGCGTGAGCTCCTTGCCGGATGTCATCTTGAGCTTAACTTTGCCCACGCCTTGAACCTCGGATTGGGCGGAGTTGCCCATCCACACCTTGTTGCCAGAAGTCTCCTTAAAGTCAAAGAGCATGGCCCGATTGGAGCAGATATGACGAGTGGCTCCGGTGTCAACCCACCACTCTTTCGGGTTAGACCCGACCAGGTTGACCTCTGTCACGACAGCACAAAGGTCCATAGCATCTAGCTCCGAGCAGAGAGCTTCTTCCTTCTTCTGCTTCTTCTTCTGAGGCTTCTTGCGGCACTCTGAAGAACGGTGGCCCGTAATGCCACAGTTGTAGCATTTCCCCGCGAACTTGGGCTTCGCGACGCCTCCTTTAGGACCAATTTTCTTCTTGTCCTTATTTGGATTGGGCCCTTTGGAAGAACCCTCTTCGGGTGGATGCTCCACCACATTGGCCTTAGCAACAGCTACTTTCTTCTCGCGAGTGAGACCCTCTTCACGGATCCGGAGACGAACAAGCAACTGTTCTAAAGTCATTTCTTTCCGTTTGAGCTTGAGATAGCTCCGGAACTCATCCCAAGCCGGCAGGAGCACATGAATAATCGCCGCCACTCGAAATGCCTCACTGACTCCCATTCCCTCATCAGTGCACTCATTAAAAATGAGAATCAATTCTTCTGCTTGACTGACCACGGGTTTGTAATCCACCATCTTAAAATCCAAGACCTTACCGACAACGAATTTCTTCGCCCTGGCGTCCTCGGCCTGGTATTTGTTGGACAGTGTAGTCCATAACTCCTTTGCGGATGCGGCCCTGCTATAAACAGCATATAAGGCATCACTCAAGCAATTCAGGATAAGATTAAGGCACGTATAGTTATTCGCTATCCATGCCTCTTTAGCTTGAATTGTTGGCTCGTCCGCGTTCTCCCCCACAACAGGGGGATCCTCCCTCAAATACCTCGCAAGGTTGAGGGTTGTCAGCCAAAATAATATCCTTTGCTGCCATATTTTAAAGCCAACACCTGTGAACTTTGCCGGTTCTTTGATAGAGTTCGCAGGCAGCATAACAGTAGGATGTCCGACCGGTGCGGATGTGAAGACACCCGTGTTCGGTCCAAGTGAGGGAATGACCGGTATGGCCGAAGCCATATTCGGTCCGAGTGGGGTGACCATTGCGGACGTAGCCGCGGTTGGTCCAATAACCGAGGTGACCAGAGCGGACCCCATAGTCGTGCTCGATCCAACGAAGGCGGTGATCGGAGTGGACCCCATGGACGCACTCGATCCGAAAGGAATGTTGATCGGAGTGGTCTGCCCAACAGAGCCACCCAATCCAGCCGAAACGTTCACAACCGGAGTCTCGGAACTACTCCCGTTTCTGGTGTGAGTGTCAAAACCGAATCCGTCCATACCCGCCATTGCGCATGGATATGACTACTACCTTAAGACTGTTACAATTCTCGTACGGATTACAACGGACGGGGAAGATGAACGGCCCCGGAAATAAAAAAATAAATAAAATTCTGAATTTATAATTTATTCAGAATATTACAAAATAAACAAAGTTGGAAAATAAAAAATTTATATCTTCAAATGGCCTTGTTGTACGAGGACATTAAGCACTGGACAGCGAGGACGTTAAGCACTGGACAGCGAGGTCATTAAGCACTGGACAACGAGGTCTTTAAGCACTGGACAGCGATTCAAGGACGTTATGCACAGGACAGAATGCAGCGAGGTCTTTATGAACTAATCCTGCAAAGAAAACACCACGGAAGGACAGCGGAGTCGCCGGAGCTGTCCTTAAGGTAGTAGTGCCCGCCTACCGTACCGGAAAAAACGTGGGCACTCTCATCCCAGGATAAAACCGCTATCGTGTGTGGTGATTGTACGGACCAACCACACACCAACGAACAAGAACAACGTAGGAACGTTGGCGACCGGAAAAAATGAAGGTAATCGCCGGAAAAATTGGCAAGAAAACCAAGAGCTCTCCTCAAAGTTAAACAAGGACAAAAGTGTTAACTTTTTCCTTCTCCTCTTTTACTTCCCACGTATGGATGCTCTCCAAAAAAAAAAAAAGAAGAGTCCCTCCATTTAAATAGGCATTTTCATGGCTCTTCATTTTGTAACTTATATGCCATGAAGGCACATTCAATAGCCATGACTCACCATCATTAGTAATATTTTTAATGGTGTGTTATTACCACCATTAACATGGGGGTTACACCCATAATGTTTAAAATTCTTCCTATTTAATTGGAGATTAATGGCCAGTTAACTCCGTAAAAGTGGAATAATTTTAAACATTACGTAACGGGTTAACTCTGAGAATCAATTTCTCATTCACCCTTCTACCATTTTTGGCGTATAATATATCAAAATATTTATCTCATTTAAGAGAACACACGTCCATTAATTAACGGTTAAAACCGTTAGTGGACCTATTGATAATTATACCCACGTTGGTCCATTTAATGCCTATTAAAATGCCAAAAATTCCAACAATCAGTAACCCGTGTTGTTTTTAAGTAATGTGGGGAGAGAAGAATCATAGGATTGCTAATGTTTTTTCATTAATATTTATTTGAATTAATATGGAGAATAAAACTCATATGTTTGTAAAAGTTAAGTAAATTTAGATCATTATATTTGAAGTGTAAGTGGTATACACTATAGAAAAGTCAAGTTATTTTATTTTTTCACACTTAACCAAAATTTACACCATTTACATCATAAAAAATTGAGGACAATTAATAGTTTTGTACATAACTAATTTAATTTGGGGTTGTGTGTGACTCATTGTGGTTATCATTCGATGATAAATAAAATTATTTAGGGTGCAAAAGAGGCTCATGAGCTAGGGTCCAAGAATAATTAAATACGAAAGTTGTTTGATTTGTCCCTTTATTCTCGTCGAATGCATGATTCGCCCATAAATTATTTAAAAACAATCATGAAAACTCTTAGGTGATGAGATTTTATTTTAGTTGATGGGAAAGTTCATTCTTTTTATGTATATATGCTAATGGAAATGAAATATGTGATATTGAATAGAGTATTAATTTCAGATAGTTTATATTTTTCTATGGAGAAATGCTAGAGTCACAAATATTTTGGTCACAAAATACACAAACTTACCATTTGTGTATTTAAATGTTTACTTTTTAATTATTCAACATCATTTTATTCATTTAGTGAGGTGCACAAATGGTAAGTTTGTGTATTTTGTGACCAAAGTGTTTGTGACTCAAGCATTTCTCTTTTCTATGACTATTAATGAAAGTCAAAGCTAACATTGTGTTATTGAAATGAATATTATCAATTATGTTATTGAGGAACATTTATCAAAACTTGGATTGTGTAATGATGCAAAGTTAATCATTGAAGACTTGTTCAAATGGTCTTTGATGCAATTTTTGTATATGCAAACAAAGCCGGAGAGAAAGTGTGCATACCCTAAGGTAGTGTTTGGTAACTAACATGTCATTTCAATTCTTGCATTTCAATTCCAAAATTTGAATTTATGAATTTCAGATGACTAGAGGATGTATATATGGTCCTAATATCTAAAATTTTAAGGTTTCCAAACATTGAATTTTAGTGAAATATGAATTTAAAATTTAAATTCGAGTTTCCAAACAACTCATAAATAAATTTGGTATCATTTGATCAAGGACTATAATTGAAGTTTCAAAGAAGAAAGTTTGAGAGAGCTTATGTTTCAATATGAGTATTAATGAAATTGATTACCAAACATTATCATTTGTTAGATTAATTATTAACAATACGATATTCATTCATGATTAACTTTATATTATTGTTTCATAAAAGAAAATATAAAAGTATGATCAAAAGTAATTGGAGTATCAAATTTATATGCCACTGGTAGCTTTTATAATTTCACAAAAAATTACATATCTCGAACTTTATCAAATATTTCTAATTTAAATAAAACTTTGACATGTTGAATCAAATGTTTGAATCAAAAATTACATATCTCGAACTTTATCAAATATTTCAATTATCACTCTCTATTTGGAATTAGAGTTCTGATTCGTGACCTGAAAAAATATCAAGGGAGGGATGGAGGTTTGGGGGTGGGACTAGTTGAATCAAAGAGAGAGAAATTGAAAGAAAAAAGGGTAAAATAATATTCCCTTCGACCTGGAGTATTTGTCTAATTTGACTTTTTCAAGTCAAACTAGACAAACTTTAATCATCAATTACTCTCAATTTGTATTGCATATTAATAAAATGGAATAAATTTTTAAAAGTTCTAAACAAGCTAAATATATTAATATCATTTTCGTACTAATGTATTATATAGTTTTTACTTAATTAAGGTTCAAAGTTTGTCAAGTTTGACCCGAAAAAGTCAAACTGGACGAATACTAGCCTCTGGGACGAAGGTAGTAAAATGTAAATTTTTAAAATTATAATTTCAACATATATGACTTGCTGATCACCTGGAATCTGCGAATAAACTTTTACCGAAGGAATGTCAAAGCTGGGGCATTTTTATGATCCGATTTAAATTTCATATACCGAAGCAAAATAATGCTTATAGCTCGTATAACAATGATGAAATTTACCTCGTATTCTTCATCTTTTTCATTTTTTTCATATCTCATATTTTTAATTTCTAATACTAGATTTTCAAAAATAAATATTCCATGTTCTTAAGTATTTGTTCATTTTTAAATTCTTTTGGTCAAAATTGGCAAATTTACCACAAATTAAATAAAAATTATATTAGATATTGATAAAAAATAATTTTATTAGATTCATTTTATGTAACATTTTCAAATTATATTTTTATCCAATGAATATACTATATATATATATATATATATATATATATATATATATATATATATATATATATATATATATCTTTGTATGTATGTATGTATGTATATATTGTGTGTGTAATACTAATAGAATATTTAGTTAATGTTTTTATTTTAAGTAACACCAAATTAAAAAACTTTAAAAAAAGAAAATTCCATCCATATTTTTGTCACATTATGAAAAACGAAGTCAAATTTTTTTTTTCATTTTACTTTTCTTTAAAGATTGATATTGAAATAATAAATACGGAGTATAATTTATAAAGAGACACCCAGCTCATCGTTGAAAGTTGCATTAATTGATTAACTATTACTCCATTAATTAAAGAAGCGTAAGAATTTTAGAGATCTATTTTATTTTATTTCATCTTACACCTTGGTTCTTATGACATTAGTTCCCAATGTCATGGGATGACCCGAGGGTGCTCTGGTGCCCGTTCGTAAAATTGACAGTTCCTACCCTTCTAATCACCCCGGTAAACCCCCACTCCGCCCCGACCCGAGCACACTCCCACCCCCTTCAATTGCCCGCCCCTTCAAAATTAACTTGGGGAGTGCAATTGAAAGGGATGGAGGGTGTTCGGGTCGGACGGGGTAGGAGGGTTTACCGGGGACTAGAGGGGGTAGGAACCGACAATTTACGAACGAGGCACCGGAACATCTCCGGTTGAACCAATGTCATGGTAACAGACCTCTTCATCTTATCCGAGAGCTAAACGTGAATTTTTAGCCCAATCTCACACATGGAAAGATAGAAATAAATGAAGTAGCTGGACAAAAAAGAATTGAAACGGCAATATACTCAACAAATAGGACTGAGAATCGAAAAAAATCAATGTCCAAACATAGACCGCAGGCAATTAAGATACTCTCAGTCCAGTGATACACTCCACTGCTACTCATTGAAATCTCTGCAAATAAGAAGACTCTCCGAAACTCTCATTCTGGAGGTACCGGTTTTCCGGTTCCTTCTTTTTTCGTCATAGCTTTGTGCATATTGTTTGTTTAGAGAGGAAAAGAAAAAAATGCATGGAAAAGAAAATAAAACATAAAATATACTAAGAAGAGGGAAAATTAAATTCCTTCCATTTTGGTTCTTTTACTTCCTAATTCCTTCCTAATGTTGTTATTGTAATTTTGGTTTCGTTTTGTTTTGTTTTTTTAAAAAACCTTGTTTCGGCTGAAACTTAGGGTTCTGCTCAGTAAATGTAGCATGCATAGGGGTTCTAACCGAAAGACTTGTCTCTGTTATTACTTAGTAAGTTTAGGTACATCTAGTATAATTGAATAGTATTGAATTCTTGTGGTATTAATGTTGTCAGGGTAAAGACAATTTTTTTGGTAGAGTTGTTTTCTTAACGTGGTATCATAGCTTTGTTGGTATGGGTGCAATCTCAGAGCAGCACCCAATTTTCATGGGTTTAACAAAACAAGCTGTGTTTTTGGATTTCATTTTTGTTTCTAATTTTCTATTACTTCACTTTAAATTATTTAACCTTGTGTTATTTGAGGAGGAACTTTCAGGAGAGAAGCTGGCTGTTTTGCAGATATGGGGGCGTGTTCTGAGTGCCAACAGAATTGTGCATTTCTTCATTGTCAACACTACCCGGGTCCAGCGGTCACATCTTTCTTCAAAATCATGATCTCCGATGACTTCATGCACACTCTGGTATCTCAACACTCAACTTCTTCTGTTTATACTATGTGTCGTAAACTTGTAATAAAAATAACCATGTTGTAGTGTTGTTCTTTGCCTCATTGTGCTTGTTGCTTTGTCTACTTTATTTGTCTTTTGTGATCTTATTTTATCTATGCTGCCTGAGCCGGGAGTCTCTTGGAAACAAGCTCTCTATTCTCGAGTAGGGGCAAAGCCTCTCTCCTTTCCATACAAAAAGTACACAACAACAAAACCCGCGAGAGTAGAGAGGTTGTTTCCAAGAGAGTCCTGGCCGACCTTGCCCCTACCCAAAAGTTGAGAGGTTGGGTAGGGGAAGGAATTGAGAGAATAAAATTGATGGCTTAAATATCACCCATTCCACTTTCCTCGAGTCCAAAATACCCAACCATACAAGGGTTCACTAAAGCTACCACTTGATATCTTTTGCAGTATCTGCCTCCTCAATTTGCTAAAGCCACATCCCATTTGGCTGATCAAGAAATCTACCTTGAGGACTCTGTAGGGACCAAATCAAAAGCTAAGGTTTCAAAGTGGGAGAATACGCTGGCTATTCAACAGGAATGGCACCAATTCTCATTGAGCCATAACATTGAAAGAGGGGACTTTTTGGTCTTCCATTACTTCACAAGGCCGGCAGACCACTTTGTTGTGCACATATATGGGCGGAGCGGTTGTCTCAAAACTGACTTCGATACTACACCTATTGAGAGAAGTAACAAGAGGGCACGGACTGTCAATATGTCACCGAGACCAGAATACGAGTCAAACAACAGCAACAACGACAAAGAATTCATCCCATGTAACTTGGGAGGTGAGACTGATGGCATAAAAGTAAATGCAGCAAACAAAGAAAGTCCTGCTACACTGGGTAACAATGATTACCAGCCATTGGCATTCGGATGTGCTCCAAATCCAATCATTGATGAAGGTCACAATAAAAGGAAAGAATCGTGTCCGCGTTCTGTGGATGAGGAAGTACGGAATGACCCTCCCAGTAGCTTTACAATGTCCAAAAATGAACTCTGCTGTAAATCTCCATCAGGTAATATGTTTTCCCATATTGTATCACTTAAATTTAATGTTGCTTGTGTTCCTTGACGGCTTGACACCTTGATTTTGAATGAAATTTCCCATATTCATTTTTAAACTGGACTAAAATAAGTTGGGTCACATCTACCTTCCTCAGGGTTAGGTCAAATTACCAAATGATACTTAAAGTTTATGGACGCTACAAATATTTGAATAAGCCTCTTAACTAGATAGTTTTGTTTTTTAACTACATTGAAAGATGACATGATGTAATCATATTTGTAGAAATCGAGTTTTTTTCAAACTAAATGATCCTAGATGATTGTACGAATATTTCTTTTTGAATGAAAATTTTTAATTATTAAAATAAAATGTTCAACCCAAAGAAACATTACATGTTTTGACTTTTGACACATTATGTTTCAAAAGGCATGTTTCAAGAAAACATGGCTTGTCAAGGTGCATATGTGTAAATTCCTAAAACCATTTTGTAATTTGACCAAACCTTGGAGGAGGTAAGTTTAATTAATCGACTTCTATCTTCTTTCTTTATGAACTTAATTACATTTCCATTTAAACATCTCACAGATGAAAATTTGAAATCACTAGAGAATGAACCGATGGGAGTGCAAGGTGCAATTCCATCAAGATTGGAAATGCCAACAAGTAAGCTTCTGGACAGGAACTTCATTTTCTTAGGTGAAACAGAATCCGTGGAAGATGTTCAGGGTAAAGAAAATTCGGTAAAGAGCAAAGCAGTCACGGAAAGTTTTATGCCACATGCGATGAAAAAGGGTCTTTGCACCAGCAGTGTTCAACACATATCACAATTTGATGGTGCATTTGGCAATGGTAATCTCTTCAACACTATTTTAAATTGCTTGATAGTTTTTTTGACCTCATTCCTTATAATGTTAAATAACAAAAATGTGAACTAAAATCCAGTATAATACTATAATCTCAACTCCGTTGAGGTTTGTTGGGTCAAGACTCAAGATGTATGTAGCCTCAGCCTTACATAAACACTATTTGCATGAAATCCTTGGTGCATTGCTGCATTTTCTACCCAAAGCTTTGTATAAAGTAAGAACCAAAGTTTAATGTGCCTTTTTAATTTCGTCCATAAGTTACCCATAGTTGAAACATCATTGACAATGACTCTAACACTATACACGATTAGTTTCAGTAGAGTTCAACACTAATTAGTTTCTATTTGGTACATGGGGATCCCCCCCCCCCCCCCCCCAAGTAGGTGAGAAAGCCAATTTGATTCAGAAAGAAGCAACTGAGATGGTAACCGAAGGTATGACCACATCAGAATGGTTATTTATGTTCTTCCACTTTCAGGTTTATGTCCTTATAGATGCATATGCGCATGCATTCTTCCTTGACATGTCTTCACTCTTCATTTATATTTATATTGCTAGTTCGCAACCTTATCATTTTATACATGTAAATTCAGTAAACATAGGATGTCCCACTACTTCCAGAAACAATTCTTACCAATTAGCATGTGCTCCCATTATTGATCAAGCTCAAAATAAAGGGAAAGAATCTTGTCTGCCTTCTATGGATGTGGAAGAACCAGATCGAATGTCCAAAAGTAAACAGTGCAGTAAATCTCCATCTGGTAAATCTCTTTTCTCCTATATCACTTAAATTTAATGGTTGCTTCATGTTTGTGTGCCTTGACTCCTTTTTGTATAAAACTTCTGGTTTTAATTTTTATAATCGACCAGAATACTTAAGGTTAACACCTACCTTCCCTGAGGTTAGGTCAAATTACCAAATGATACTCAAAGTTTATGGATGCTACTAATGCTACGGATAAGCTTCTCAACTAGTCATTTTGTTAGAACTACATTGAAAGATGATATTAGTAGAAATTGAGTTTTATTCCAAATTAAATAACCCTAGATGTTCCAAAAAAATTTACGTTTTTAATGAAAACGTTAAATTAGTATAAAAAAAAAGTTCAACCCAAGTGACACATTACATGTTAATATCATACTTTTGTTGTGTCAAAAGGCGTGTTTCAAGATAACATGATTTGTCAAGGTGCTTCTGTGTAATTTACCACAACGAAGTAGTAAATTTACCATAAACACTATTTGCATTAAACCCTTGATGCATTCTTGCATGTACTACCCAAAACTTCTCAGAAAGTAAGAATCAAAGGAAGTCTAATGTGCCTTTTTTATTTAGTCTATAAGGTCTATTATTTACCCGAAATTAAAACATTTCTAATAATGAATTTAACAATATACATGATTAGTTTCTGTATAATTCAACACTAATTAGTTTCCATTTGATACATGGGGACCCCCCCCCCCACCCCCCTTAATAGGTGAGAAAGCCAAATTGATTAAGAAAGAACCAGAAGAGATGTTTACTGAAGGTATGATCACATCAGAATGGTTGTTTATATTCTTTCTTTTTCAGGTTCATGTCCTAATAGATGCACGAGTTCAAGCATTCTTCTTTATGCCTTCATTATTATTTATACTGAAACCATATCATTTTTATGCACGTTCCATTGAAAATACACAGAGGAAAATCTCATGAACATGACCAACATGGACTTTGAATATGTCAAAAGTGAGCCTGTTGATGCAGCTTCTGCAGACTTGTGTTTGGTGGTGGTTGACGGTGGTGAATTTATGGTATGTATCCTTCTAACTTTTACTTAAAACCATTTTTTCCCTCTCTAGAAGAAATAATGAAGTGGAAAAAAATAATGAAAATAAGAACTTAAAAAGTCATTTCCCAATTGTATAATTTAATTATTTGTGTGCTATACAGTCATACTCTATACATACTTGTGCTTCTTGAACGTGTATATTTATTTATTTATTCATTTATTTGATTTTATTCTAATTACAATTCTTGTTTAATACAAATCGCAATTGGACAATTTCTATGAAAGCTCGTTTTGATTGCTAAACATTTGAATCATATGGCTAGCTAGAACAATCTGCTTTTGTTGTATACTCCATCCGGAAGTAATTCTCCACTTGCTAAGAAACGAGTTAAAAAAGTCAGACAACTTGCTGAAATAAGTAAATTCATTGATGTCAGCCATGCTCATACCCTACCTCTAGGATATTTTTGAAAAAAATTACTCCCTCCTCTTCGTGTTTGATTCACCATTATGACTTTTGTGTTATATATGAAAAGTTGAATGAATATGGACATGTTTGTGCAATCTCAGGAACTACCAGAAAGCTGGCCTTGGAGAGATAGGCAACAACACAAGGGCATCCTATTTCTCACAGACCCAACCAAAAGAGTTTGGCCAGTTTTATTGCATAGGAAGCAGCATATTGTTGTTCTGTCTACGGGGTGGAAAGAGTTCAGTGCTGCCAATATGCTCAAACCGGGAGATGAATGTGTTTTCCGTGCATTAAAGAGGCGTGAATATAGTGTTGGTTTTAGGCGTAAGGGGGAATAGTGCCCGAGACCTTGGCCTCTGGCGAAGCGTCCAAACGTTTAGAAGTGGAATCCATTATTGTTGTTATATATATATATATATATATATATATATATATATATAGATTTTGGTTCTGGTGAGAATGCAATCTTAGGAGAGAAATGAGAATGAATCTGGTGCTTTAGATTGTGAGATCTAAGGGTCAAGATTTCATCAAAATTAGATGCACCAAAATGGTGCGAAAATGCATCACGTTGAAATGCATCATAAACCTTCGAAAATGCACTATCTCAAAATCTGAGCACAGGATGCAATCTGAGCCGCACGATGCANAATATATATATATATATATATATATATATATAGATTTTGGTTCTGGTGAGAATGCAATCTTAGGAGAGAAATGAGAATGAATCTGGTGCTTTAGATTGTGAGATCTAAGGGTCAAGATTTCATCAAAATTAGATGCACCAAAATGGTGCGAAAATGCATCACGTTGAAATGCATCATAAACCTTCGAAAATGCACTATCTCAAAATCTGAGCACAGGATGCAATCTGAGCCGCACGATGCATCAGATCCGACGGCTAGATTTTATTCTCATTTCTCTCCACAAGGTGCATTCTCACGGGATATATATATATATATATATATATATATATATATATATATATATATATATATATATATATGTGTGTGTGTGTGTGTGTCCTTCCACTACCATTATTACTAGATGTAACAAAGGACAAAAAAATTTCAAATACGTTTGTCCTAAGTATTTCTATGTAGAACGAATTCCATCCCGCCAATCAATCTTGAGTTTTGGAAAAAAGTAAGATAATTATGCATTATCATTAAACTTTTGTCTGAAAATATAAATTTATACTCTAAAAACGAGTAGAAAAGTGTATGATTTTAAAAAATTCTTACTTTAGCAGGTCAGTCAGGTTCGGGTTCGATTAGGTTTGACCTATTTTTAGCAGGTCATGTCGGGTTCGGTCATTAAAACCTTTGTTCAAAATCCTGTATTTTCGGGTTGAATTTTGGGTCAAAAACAGGTCGTGTTATTTTTTGCGAGGTCGAAGGATACTCAAGACGTAGGTAACATGCGCACATGTTTGTGAATCAAATGCATGGGCTATCGTGACACTTTTATCCAGCGTATTCCATGTATACTCTAGCGCCATGTAAATTGGCCTAATAGTTACCAACATTTTAAATAAATAAAAATTAATTATTTATTGAAACTCGTTATTTTAAATAATAAATATTGAGATTTTAATCTCTTTAAATGAATTACAAAAGTTAACCTGTTTTAAATATAGAAAGATGTTGTTAATAACATGCCTCTCGACAATAATTAATGAAATAAATTAATTAATGATTGAGACACATCCGAAGGTTAGAAAATAATTAAAGTATCAAGAAAATTATTTAAAACATAACATACGTTTAGTTTTGACTATCTATTTCCAAAAACACAATCAGTTTTCAATTCGAGCTGATCAAGGGGAAAAACGCGTATTGTACTTATCAGTTTTGGACTTTATCGGAGCAACTTAGGTTTTATCACCCTTGTTTTGCACATGTGAAATTTGGCCAGCCCTTCCCATGCCAACTCTTGGTTTTCTTCTCTCCATTTAAATACTTCACTCCATCACAACATCCCCACCAATCCCTTCAAGCTAAACTCTACCATGTTTGGATCACCAATCTCTCCCTCTCTGTCTCCCTCTCATGACTCTACTTTTCCGGGAACACAGCAATATCGGCGAATGAGGAGAGTCACCAGAAAAGGAGGGAGAATGAGATGCTGGTTTTTGGAGAGCAAATCCCCTCAGTCCACGTAAGGCACTATTTCAACCATTTTAAACTCGTTATTTGGTCACAATTTCTTCAAGAAAGTTGTAGCCCTGCGAGTTGGCGAACCATTTTCGTAAATGGTTTGTAAATCGGACGAGTAACAGAGGAGATACGACCATTCTACCAAAACTAGTTCAGTGGTGACAGAAAACACAAGGTTGCTAACTTCCGTCTCCATTCTCATTTCGTTCCATTCAATCCGCTATTCGTTGGGAGCGTGCCGACTATCCACAGCCCTTGAAACATGTTTGGGAGAAGAAACCAAAACTCAAGGAGCCATTTGGATGTTGGAAGGTCAATAGTTTGACGACCGTTCATTGACGTTCGTTGATTCGTTTGGTTCCTCGTAGCATTGAGACTTTTCGTATCATATTTGAGGTAAGTACCCCTTAGATATAACAGAGAAATCTTTAATATATTTATATGCAAATATGTTTGTTGTTTATATGATTATTTGTATATAGATTTATTCCATGACATGTTCTTGATTTATTAATCATCCGTAGAGAATAACAAGAGTTTAAAAGACGTATGAAGTGAGTGATTACACAAAGGATAAATTGATATTTGGCTGAAAGTAGTAGAATTGTAAGGCTATGAAGAGATATGGTTAGACTTTGAGGAAATAATAATTCATATCATAATAACATCACTTGATAATTTAATACGTTTAGGTTCATAAATGTGATATATGAATGTTTAAGTTGGAAACTACAACGCCCCAAAACATACCCTAAAATTTATTGAAGTTTGGTGACTAAAAATGACATTTTCGAAAGTTGGTCTGAGGTTGAAGATGATACTGTTCAAAACTACGCACAGAACAGTAGCCAACTACCATCTGGACAGTACCTTGATACCGCCGGGACGGTAGGCTAGCTACCGCCTCCTTCATGAAAATCGCCTTTCTCTAGCGGTACTTGATGACCGGTGGTACCCTGTACCGTCGGCATGATTCCGAGGTACCAATAGCCAGTACTGAGGTACCGTGAAGTGTACTGTTTGATCTGATATTTTTCTAGAAAATCTAATTTTTGAACTATTAAATCCTATTTTTGACACCAATAAATTATGATCAATAAGAATATGATTTCTGGAAATAAAAATTGTAACGCCCAAAAACATACCCTAGAATTATTAGTAAAATAATTATTCGATTAATCAAATTTGTTTTGATTAAATATAAAGTGTTATTGGGCTTTGGAGCAAAATAAAATATGTGTTGATATCCAATTAAACATAATTGGGATGATAAATCCAACATGTTGACTTATTGTGTGATCTTGATTGGGAACCTGAGTATAGACCCAAATTAAGAATAAATGAAGAAATTATTTATAATGTGAACTTTGAAATGATTTATTGAAATAAATCATGGAAATAAATAATATGAATTAAATGTGAGAACCTTTTTGAATAAAGCTCAATTAAACTAATTTTGACTTTGTCAAAGTCAACCACCCAAAAATATGATGTTGGAAAAAGTATAACGAATAAATATAAAAATTATATCGTTGAATAGAGTTTATTTGCACGATCGCAACGGTGCAAATAGATTTCAATTCGGAGAAAGTTGGACCAAAAAGTGTACCCCGACTAGGACCAAAATTAGTCCCAATCAAGGACGGCGCCTCCTACTCCACTTAGCCGATCGAAGATGCATTCCTACGTAAATCCTACGCAGCAATGTCGTCACCTTCCCCATTCTCTTCCTATATAAGCCACCATCAACCTTCTCATTCTTCACAAAAAGTTAATGAATTTAGTACCAAAGTGTTCATGAGAGTGAAGAGAACACGCTGCAGTAGTTGGTGGTCACCGAAGTCGCCGGAGTTGGGAGTTATCATCGCCGGAAGTTTCGCCGGAAAATTCTCAAAACCTTCGATAAGCTTCGAGTTAAGCCCGTTGATATATCTAATGACTAGAATGTTTGTATAGATCGTTTCTACATTCATAAACGGTCGTTTGACATGCTTGAAGAACCAAGGATCATAAACCATAAAATTGATGCTAAAACTCTGAATTAATGATGCCAAAATGATCTATGAAGTTTGGAGAACATCTCTATATAGTTTAATTGAAGTTCAGTGACTAAAAATGGTTTTTCCGAAAAATGGACCAAGGTTGAAGATGAATTAACAGTGGCTGAAAATCCACAGAGTGGATCGATCATCTTCACTGGATCGATCCTCTGGGAGTTTTCTTCTAGTTGGGATCGATCTAGAGGGCTGGATCGATCCTCCGAAACTCTGACCCGAAAATTTGTGTGAAAATGATATTTTTGAGCTCCAAAATCCTATTTTTGATACCAATTGATTATGATCATTATAAAAATGATTTTTCATAATAAAAGTGGTGTTTTTAACAAATAAAAATGTTATGTGATGCATGACGGTAAGTTAGGGTGTTAACACCTGAAGCTAGGCCGCTAATTGTTATTGAATATTATGTTGATTGATGATTATGGTAATGATTATTGATTGATGATTATGATGATTAAATCTTAATGAATATTCTGATTAAAAATGATAATTGTGAATGATTAGATCATATTGAATATATTGATGATTGTGAAAATAATATGTATTGTTAAGGGTATTTTGAAGACTCTAAGATATACCCATATTAATGTTGATTTGAAAGGGTATCTAGATGACCTCTAAGATATACCCATTTAAGTTAGGCCTTGCGGGTATGATGCCCGGTGGCCAGGGCTAAAACGTAAGTACGGGATCCAAGAACTAAACTTGAGTACCTACTCGTTTGCGGGTACCTCCCACCCAACAGTGAACACTACGCTGTCGGTTTTTGATTGACCTTAAGCGAAGGTAAGTTTAAGATTTGAAAACTCTTTTTAAAAATATATCTTAAACTAGGCCTAGCTTAAGGATTAGAATATCTTGAACTAGAATTAGTTTAAGAATGAAATTGGCCTTAGACTAAAATAGTTTAAGGATATTGTTGAATATGAATGTTGAATATTACTACCTCCGTCCGATAATATTTGTCCAGTTTCATTTTTACACACCATCCAATACACTTCTTTAATCCATTTTATCTTGTAATTTGTATATTAAAAAATTATAGAAATTATATATTAATAATCTATATGTTAAGACAACTCAAACAAGATCACACATGACTATTTTTAGGCTTACACATTGAGAGAATGTGTTGAGTCAAAGTGCTTATATAAACAGTTTCAAAAGTCAAAACTAGACGAATACTCCGGGACGGAGGGAGTAAATATGAATGTTGAATGTTGAATATTGAATGATAAATACTGAATAATGAATATTTAAACTGAATATTATGTGCAAGATATCAAATGGTTGATTATGAATTGAGATTCAATTTATGTGGATGTTCGATGTATTATTTATGCTTACTCAGCTTTACCGTTGAGCGTGTAGTGTGTTTTATTTGCTACACGCAGGTAAATGGAAAGAATGAAGTGACGTGATCCTGGAGGCAGACGGAGGTGAGATTGTCGGAATGGATGTGATGTTTTGAATTAAAGAACATAAATAAATTATGTTTGTAATTATGATTTGTTAAGCTTCCACAATATTGAAAACTCCGTACTGTTTATGATATGAATAATTATTATTGTGATAAATAAAAGTGTTTGAAATGTTTTAAATTTTACGATTACCAAGTTAATACTTTAGTCCGAAAGGGGCTGCAGACCTGGACGGATTAGGGTGTTACAAAAATGATGTTTTAACATACTCTCTC